GTGCAGTGGTGATGGAAGGAGGCAGTGTATATGTGTGGAAGAAGGTGGGTAGTGTGCCTATTCTGCCACAATGGGTATTGTCACTAAGAAAACTAAAGCCCTGAAGGACTAATGCCCTTTGAAGCTTTGTTCATATCAATACGATCAAGTTATCGCAGAATGAGATCGGGAAGTGTTTCCAATCATTTCGGTAAGGGGCGGAGTTTCTGATTTGTATTCAATAATCGGCCTTTTTGAATACAGTGATCTCTCCCATGAGACAGATGTTGTCAACACACAGTGGCTATTCGTCTACCAGAGGTAGTTTGGTGGCTTTGAGTTAGGGATCAGGCTTTTGGCCACATTTAGTAAATAGGCCATTACTGATTTTTTTGTATTTCCAAGCAGGCATAGATGTATTGTAGACTAAGAGTATCCATGGGCCCCTTGGGAGGGTCGCAGTGGCAATATATGATATAAGAGTAATGATCTGTTCCCATTAGGGTTGTATTAGTGAGCATGTGACCATGACAACCAGAGGGGAGAGAAGGTTCTTGGAGCCAATTGGCACCTCCAGCATAGGGTTAAGGTCTGGGGGCCCCACCTGCTCAGGCTCACCAGGCCCCTGGGACCATCAAGCAATGAGTTTAAGATTGCTTTCAGAGATGTCAGCTTGTTATATGATGCTTATTGGAGAATTATTCTTCACTTATTTTCTAACGCTTCTAACTCTTATTTCCAGATTGACTACATGGTGCCGACCAAAATAGGGAAAGAGTTTGACTACATGTAGTAAGTTCTCCATTCTTACCTTCCTTTCACTGCTTATAGTCGGGTTACATCAAAATAATTCCCTGCGGTCACTCTTAGTGTACAGTATGTCTCTATACATGTCCCTCCGCCATGTCCTAACTCAGACCAGAATAAGAGAAGCTCCTGTTGCAGCATTTCTTTCCTGGTTCAGGCTTACCGATTGATGACACGTTGAGGAGGAGAGGTGTGACCATGTCTTAGCTAATGTTTAAATTCTTCCACATTTGCATGACTGTGGTCATACACTGCTGACATTTCATCCGTTTCCTGTGAATTGGCCATAATTTGAGCCGTGGGTGGCCCCGACGGCTCAATCTGGCATGGCAAACTTCAATTTTAAGCCCGGTGGAACATTTCCGGCTCACCAATGACTGCAGCCAATCAGCTAAAAGCATCGTTCAGGTATTGAGACAGCCGCACCTCACAGTTGCTCTAATACAATAGCTAGTAGTGGAACATTTCTCCTTCCACGCTGTGTTAGTGTTGATGGGGGGGGGGATTGAGCACAATGAATTAAGTGTCCTAAATGAGAAAAAAAATAAAACGTGTATGGCCAGCTTTAGACTTTTTGGGGTTCCGTAAGCCGCAAAGGATGTAGTTTTACTTTGCAGTATTTTACTACACACGAAGCTTTGTCTTCTGTGCCAGCAAAATCCTCTGCAGACAATCGAGGAATTGCTTGTTTTCCTGCTAAATGTTCTGTTGGATTGGCAATTGTTATCAGCGAGATCTTCCCCCGGGGACTATCACCTTCCTGTCCGGGTTCATCAATGCATCTTGTATTTCTTTTTACATACTTGTTGTTGTAATGTGATGTTCTTCTGGTCCATTACATGTCATTTATATAAGAATTCTATCTCACTTGACAGCACCTACTGCACCCTGCCGAGCATTAAAGTTCACAACATAGTGGTGAATATGCAGTAAGTATCCACAGTCTTCTGGGGGGGTCATTGTGTTATAACTAGTGAGATCATCTCTTCATAACCATTGAGGTCATTTAACTCTGTGCTGATTTCTTGCTAGTCTCCCCTCACCCCTTCTCTCCCCTCTTTGTCTCCTGCTCCCTCTCTCTCCTCCCCCCCCC